TTGACTGACATTTCTGGCCAGCTTACCCCTCCGCCTCTGGACTAGAGGTTAGCAAACTTTTCCAGCAAAGGGCCAGACAGTAAATATTTTAGGCTTTGCGAGCTGTGTGGTCTCTGTCACCACCCCGCTCTGCTGTTGTGGTGGGAAAGCAGCCACAGACCATCTAGAAACAGGTGAGTGTGATTGTTTTCCAATAAAACATTCATTCATGGAAACTGAACTTCAGATCATTTTCACGTGTCACAAAATATTATTTTTATTTTACTTTGTTTTCCCCAACCGTTTTAAAAATAGAAGTGGCATTCCTGTCTCACGGGCTGTATAAAATCAGATGGAGTTGGCCCATGGGAGTTTGCCAACCCCTGCGCCGGAGGGTCTCACACTGTGCTGCCCGACATGGTGACAAATAATCATACATCATTTAAATTTAAAATTTGAATTCAAAATTCAGTTTCTCTGCTGCACCCAAGCGCTCAGTAGCCGTGCGTGTCTGGTGGCTGCCACACTGGACAGCACAGAACATTTCCATCAGTGCAGAAAGTCTGGACAGCTCTAGTCTAGATGCAGTAAGCCTGAGGGAGTTGCCTCCGGGGCGAGCTTAGCCAATTAGTGGTCCAGCAAGGCAGCCGTCCAGGTCTCTGTACAGGGCCCTGTTCTCACTCCGCTGGGAAATTTTGTGCCGGAGGACTGATTGCACTGGCAGGTGTTTAAATACATGTTGTTTTGAAGAGTGTAGTATTTGGTGGAAGTTGGAACCGACTTTAAGCCCTGTTCATTAGGTTTGGAATGAAAACAATTTTTGAGAGAGGAAGTTTAGCCTGTTACTGGGAATAAGCGTACTGTTTGTTTCTTTCTTCTCTTTCAGAATGAAAAGAAAGTTTCATTCCTGGGAGGAATGCATGAACCTTCGGGAGGTCAAGGTACTTACGAATACACGAGGGGATAATTTACGTATGGTCGATTAAAATAGCATTATACATGCTTAGATTGATAGTTAATATGGCCATTCTGTTTGAATTGTTTCACTGATGCTGAAAAAGGAGGCAGATAACCTAAAGCAGCTAATAGCGGAGAGGAGAGGATTGCTACGCGATTACACTAGTGCATGTATTTTTTTTTTGTAACCTTGATAATAGGACTATTAACGAAACCACAGATTTATTCAGCTTTCACCAGTTTCTCACTGATGTCCCTTTCCTTTCAAATTGTGATGAAATAAATACACATCATGTACTATTTACCTTTCGGACCCTTTCTGAAAAGATTTGGACAATTGTGTTTACACAGCAAACTGAACAGTATTAGGAAATTGTCATACCATTCAGAAATTGAATATATGCAGTAATCACATTTTGCAGTCATCTGCGGGGAAGGCTCATTTGCACATTTTCCGCACACAATGCCTGTGCATTAAGGTTGTTAAAATCTCAAAGGGAAGTGGCAGGTTGCCAGGTAGGTGTTCAGAGCAATAGTCCAGACTATCAGCATAACCATAAAGGTGTTTAGTGCTAGTGCCCACAGGGCTCAAAATAAATTTAGAATTGCATTTTTGCCCTAAAAATGGTACAGTTCAGTGGTATTAAGTGCATACATAGCGTTGTACACCCGTCATCATTATCCATCTCCAGGACTCTTTTCATCTTGCAAAACTGAAACTCTACATCCATTAAGCAGTAACTCCCCACGAACCCCTCCCTCCAGCCCCTGGTCACCACCATTCTACATTCTGTCTGTATGAATTCGATTAAAGTGGGTACCTCGTGTAAGTGCAGTCATACAGTATTTGTCTTTTTTGTGCCTGGCTTATTTCACCGAGCATAATGTCTTCAAGATTCATCCATGGTGTAGCACGTGGCAGGATTTCCTTCCTTTTTAAAGCTGATTAACACTCCGTCATAAGGATATGCTGTATATCGTTCATCCATTCATCCATCAATGAACCCCTGGGACACGTTTGGCGATGATGAACCTACCAGTATCTTCAGATTCCTCCTTTCTTTGCCTTCAGTCCATCCACGTGCCTGCTGTTCTTTCTAATCAGCCTCAGCCCTCTCTCCCTGGGAGCTCCCACCTCTTCTCTCTCCTGACCTCACCTTCCAAACACCCTCTCTGCCATCACTTCCCCCCACCACTGACTTTCCACTCAACTGAATTCCATTCACCTCGGCAACTCTACCAAAGCTGCTCTCCTCCAAGTCCCCAGCTGCCAAGTCCGGCATCATTTTCTTGGACCTCTTCTGGTCTGTGGACCTCTTCCTCCTCTCCTCTCCCGAGTCTATGTGACTGCTTTTACTCACCTCTTCTACTTCCTTGTTCTGTAGTTTCACCCTTTTTTTGTTTTTGTTTTGAGTTTTATTTTGTTTTGGGTGGGGAGGTAATTAGGTTTATTTATTTATTTAATGGAGGGACTAGGGATTGAACTCAGGACCTTGTGCATGCCAGGTATGTGCTCTGCCACTGAGCTATGCACTCCCTCCCCCTTTAAATATCAATAATTTCTCACATTCTTTTCTTAGCAGTTTTTCCCTTTGCTCTGACTCCTGCAGAGTGGTTTTATTTGTTCCCCTGGCTTCAGCAGTCCCATCAAATCTTTTCTCTTTCTTATGCATTTAGACCAGGGGTCAACAAATAGCCCGGTGCCAGTTTTTGTAAAAGAATTTGGCTGGAATGCAGCCCTGTCCCGTTTGTTTTCATATGATCTGTGTCTGATGTCACGCTACACTGGGAAAGTGGAGTGTCAGGGACCATCAGACCTGGAAAGCCTAAAATATTTACTCTCTGTCCCCTGATGGAGGGGCTTGCCGACCCCGGCTTCAGGCCCCCTGTAGCCAGCTGCTTAGTGGACATCAGTGCCTGAAGCACAAGTGCCCCCCACCCCAGCGCCCCTATTTTCTCCCTCCTCTGTTGATTACCATTCACCCAGAAACCACAGCTCGTGGCCGTGGCCGCTGTGACCACTCCCACACATCTCGTGTCCCCAGCGCTCAGCTGTTCACACGCCACCCACCATTTACTGCGCAGCTGTGATGGGCCTGGCGCACCTCTATCTGCTCCATCTTATCCCATCCCCACAACCACCTGGTGAGGAATGTCATGGTGCCTTGAGTTTCCTGGTGGGAACAGCTGAGGTCCAGAGACTCAGCAATTTGCTTGAGGTCAACACAGCTCTCACCGACCACTGAGAGTCTGGCGACTACTCCTTGAAACATCTCTGATGTTCTGTGTCTCATCTCTCCCTTGGCTCTTCTTGCGATCCTGTTCTTCTGTTCCGTGTATTTTGTCTCCGTGTCCTCTCTTCCCAGCCAGACTGTTTGCCCCTAATAGACGGTCCGCGGGTGCACCGCCGAGCCGGGTGTAATTTGCTTCTGCTCCTCTGCTCTGATATGACTGTCCTGCCTCTGCCTCTCCTTGGAAGCCTTTCCCAAGCCAGACCAAGATGCCTTCTTTCCAGAAATAGACCTCTCCAGACTGTGTCACATAAAGTCCGCCACAAAATTCTTTTATCATTAATTCCTTTTATGTGAAACTGATACAGACTTTAATTTGCCCATCAGCCTCACTCAGAAGCAAGAAGGCAGATCATCTGTAGGTCCATCCCTGTTACTGCAAATGGCATTATTTCATTTTTTCTTATGGCTGAGTAGTATTCCATTGTATAATTGTAACACGTCTTCTTTGCCCAGTCATCTTTCAGTGGTTACTTCCATATCTTGGCTATTGTATATAGTGCTGCTGTGAATACTGGGGTGCATGTATCTTTTCAAATTAGAAGTTACTTCAGATGTATGCCCAGAAGTGGGATTGCTGGATTATATGGTAAGTCTATTCTTAGTTTTTTAAGGACTCTCCATACTGTTCTCCGTAGTGGCTGCACCAATTTACATTCCCACCAGCAGTGTGGCAGGGTCCCTTTTCTCCACACACTCTCCAGCATTTATTATCTGTAGACTTTTTGATGATGGCCATTCTGACCGGTGTGATGTGATACCTCATTGTAGTTTTGATTTGCATTTCTCTAATAACTACTGATATTGAGCATCTTTTCATGCGCCTGTTGGCCACCTGGATGTCTTCTTTGGAGAAATGTCTGTTTAGGTCTTATGCCCATTTTTTGATTGAGTTGCTTGGGTTTGTTTGTTTGAGATTAAGCTGTAGAATTCTCTTCTTGAAAAGTTTTAAAGCTGACTTACACTTTCCTCTGAGTGAATCTTCCCTGTTCATCCTGCTGCTCGTCCACTGCACGCCTCAGCCATCACTTAGGGTGCGTTTTAGGCAAGCAGAGAGAAAAAACGGCTGCGGTCCATGAGAATCTGGTGAATGCTTACATGTTAGGCAATGTTTGCTACTCATGGAGAAGCAGAAATCCAACCAGCTGGAAGAAGTCATCAGCCCGGCTGGGTCATTCTGGAAGGATCTGGCCCATTGGCCAAAACAGCTGAGAATTTCCTGCCAGAGAAGCAGTTGGCAAAAACTTGTCTTTCTGGGAGGAGGTTCCAGAAGAGTCTTACTCAGTTCCCATTCACTGACCGTGTGTCCTCCCTGCTCCCAGCTGCTTGAAGTAACTCGGCCATATTACACACGCCCCAGCTCTGATCCCTCGGGTGTGTTGTTACTGAGCGTCCTGCCAGATTTGGACGCTTGTGAACACTTTCATGTTTAGACATTGTGTGTGTTTGTTTTTTCCTGTTCTGAGCGTCTGCCGTCGGCTGGCTGGTGGCCTCAGTTCCCAGCAGCTGCCTCTCCACCTCTCCAATGCCGGCTCCATCAAACGTCAGCGGAGCCCCCTCTGGCCACGTCCATGGCGTGAATGCCGTCACCTGGAGTGGGTGCACCTCAGATAGCCCTGTCCCGTTGCCTGGTGCTGGGGGTAGCCGGAAGTTCCAGTCACGGTCACATCCTTACCTTCTCATCAGTGAATCGCAATCATTTTTTCTATGTAAAGTCACTACCAACTTCAGAGAAATACCATTTATGAAATTGTCAATAAAAACTAATTGTGGCATTCGGTGGTTCCAGAATTCGGTATTTCTTCCCAAATGTATGTGGGATTGCTTCTTTTTTCAGCCACAGACTTTCTCTAATTTTTTGTGTTTTGCTCCTTCCTTTTCAGTCTTTAAAGAAGCTCAACCACGCCAATGTAGTCAAATTAAAAGAAGTTATCAGGGAAAACGATCATCTTTATTTCATCTTTGAGTACATGAAGGAAAATCTTTACCAGCTCATTAAAGAAAGGTACGGTTTGGTCTTCAGGAGCTTAGAAATAAGCTGTTTCAGAGGGGATAGGTTTTCTTTCTGCTTTTGTTCATCGCGGGCGTGCTGCTTGGGTTTTGCTGTTTAAAGGTGCCCAGAAGATGCGGGGCCCCACCCGCGTTCCTGCCTGGTGGTAGCGGCGTGGTCAGTGTGGCCGTTTTACAGGTCTCAGTGGGTTGCTCACCTAAGCAGGCTCGGGGTTTAACAGATGCTCTGCGGCCCTCTTTCCCACAGGACGTATGGGCGGGGCAACCACGAGTGAGGGGTGTAGCAGCTTCATTCCTACTGAGACATTCACTGGAAACATCAAGTCCCTTGCAGGGCCTTTCTTGCTGCGGTGCTCAGAGTTTGCATGCTGGGAAGACAGACAAACTAATAAAGAACTTTCCTACCATGTAATTTTTAACTTTAAAAGTGAACCATGTCGAACTGTCCGGGCCCCTTTTTGGTTGGTAAATGAATGTCGTTCACAGCATCCCTCTGAGCGAGTTCAGTGAACAGATACCATTTTCACTGTCAGTGACAGCAGTGAAGCTGTGGTTTGCCCAGCGGTGGGGAAAAGGTACCCACTGCATCTCATGAGACCTCTAAAAGACCCCAAATTTTCCCCGTCAGATTTTTTTTAAAGTTTTAATTTATATTATGGAGAGAGAAGATTTTTTATATGATGTACTAGAGGG